CGCGAGAGGCGCGCGCTCCCGCGGCGGGGGCGGGGGCGCGTGGTTGCCATGGAGCCCCGAGGGGCTAAGGCACTCGTTTCTCTGATGGCGCATTTCCTTTTTTATATTTTCCATTTTTCTTTCACGATGGCCAAATACTGCCAAACACCGTATTTAAAAAAATAATCTAGTTTTGGAGTGGATTTAAGATGACATTGGTGCACTTGTCTATCCAGGTTGCTCATGATTATGCTGCATACCCCTCGGCACCTGGCTTTCTGATCCTCCTGACCACTTCGCACCCCCCATATTTCATCCCGGTGAAACCAAAGTGTCAGAGTATGCCGTTTATGTGTATTGGTGTGAGACACTGAGTTGACTAAATAACGTAAAAAAAACACGTTCATCTGTCTGCTGTCATCTTTGTAGCCAGGCAAACCCTAGTTTCCCCTGTCCTGGCTGGCGACGTTGACAATGAGCTGGTAAACCAGAATCCTTAGGGTTAAAAAATGTCCAGTAATCTCCCTGCAAGCAAAACAAGGCCCACTTATGTCAATCCCAGATGGTGAAAATCCCCCCAAAGGAACGGGGCATTCAACTCTGAATTTTTTAAACCTTATTTAATAAAAGGTTTAAAGATACAGAACATTCAAAAGTAAATAAGTTACATAGGTACATTACAATCACATCAGCAAGATTCTCTTTAGTGTATTAATTTTTTTTATAAAAAGCACACAAAAAATAAAATCTTCAGTCTGGTCTATCACAACTGTACAGCAAAAGAGGTAATATTTATATATATGTACACTACTTTAATATGTAACAGTCTTTTAAAAAGGGTGCCACAGGCAGCAAACACACAAAAGGCAGTGTCTGATCATTTTTGTTTCAAAATAAAAGGAATATACTTATTTATATGCTATTAAAATATTTGTACAATAATTACAGACTGTCAAGGCTGTTCCTGTGCTCTTTCCCCTCCAACAAGGCCTTCAACTTAAGAGACGAATGAGGAAAAAGTGAAACAGCTGCAAATTGTTAATCAGAGGCAAATATTAACACAGCAAAATGTGGGGAGGACACAACTGTTGTATAAAAATATGCAGACTTCCTGTAAACCTAAGGAGTTAGGCTTGCCAGTCTGGTAATGAACACTGTCCCAGAAAAGTGAGCCCCAGGAAAGATTTAAACAGCTGAAGCTTGAGTATGTGTTGTATTCCTCCTTCACCTTAGCATCTGGCACATGAGAAGAAAGAGGTTAGGTCACTGAGGCAGTTAAATATAGGCGATCCCTTTAAACATAAGCAGCAGAAGACTTCTGGGTCAGGGGTGGAGGTGGGGCGGCAAGAGGGGCAGTGTATACCTTAGCTCTGAGGGGGGTGCTGAAAGCATGGAGGACAGTAATGACAGCACTATCTCCTTGCATGGGCAGAGACCTCAGAAACGGTCTGAAACACAGGCATTAGGTCAGTTTCACACCCTAAGCTGAATGCAGATGGGGGCTGGGAGATGGACATGGTGAGATGGTGTGGGAAGGACATCATGAAGCTGGAGGTGTTTATCATTTAACTTCTTAAAGCAAAGAGCTCTGGATTGAAGGAAACAATAAGAAAAGACAAGCCTGATGTGTTCACAGGGAGAAAGCACCATTAAGGGTATACTCATGCCAGCTTCCATGGCTGCACCTACTTCATTGGCAGGCCACTTGCCACAGTTGCATCCGCCCTCAACTTTTCACTGTTCTCACTGCATTCTAGACACAAATGAATCCTGGAGCATGGACCCTCCTCAAAAATGGTGTCTGGTGGGATTACTACAGAGAGGTACCACCTTTTCCCCAGTTACATTCACCTGGTCTGGTCTCTGTGAGCTTAGAAGAGTAGAATCACTTTCTTATTTAACAAAATTTCCAAGTACTGGATGTCACCACTGAACAGAAGGGTCTCATGTGAATGAATGAGGTTTCTGGTATCAAATGCCCATAAAGGGACCTGAAACCAAATATGGTTTAAACAGAAAAAACCTTGGGAAACATACATAGCACTTTGGGGCTAAGCTGCGAAGGCACTCATATTACACAAATAATTTAGAAGAGAGCCTAAGTTTGCTACCCTCCTGCTTCTAGAGGGTACACCAGATTTTTGCAATCTTGGGACACTGAGCTTGGAGAAGCCTAAGTAGGAAACTGACTGGGAAGTTGGAGATGCAGGGAGAAGAATTCTGTTACTCCTGTAGCTGGGGTCTCGTAGAACCATATTAATGTATAAGTGGATGCTTAAACATACCTTACAGTGTATAGTTTCAAAACAAAACTCCCTCTCCGCTCCCAGTCATTGACACGATGCCTTAGGCTACCTCATGAAGAGCAGCAGAATGAATACTTCTTGGCTCCTCCTAACACGCTGACCTGTCACATACGCATTCACTTCAAATTTCTTTTGCACAACTAAAGTTGAATAACAAGATCAGAAAAACAACTCAGCCCCCTTACCGGACTGGCAAGTAAAGGGACCTCCAGAACTTCCTGACCCTTTCACTTCAGTGATTCCATGCCAAATATGGCTTCTTCAAGCCAGAATCCAGGACTGATCAACAAAACCAGAATTCTGGCCTCTTGCCAATCCCCTCAGGCAATCTGAAAGCACAGCCAGAGAAGGGGCAGCAACGAAAATTGCCTGTGATCTCCTTTGCTCTTTCTAGTCTGTGTGTGGCTTTGCTTTGGTGACACCCTCTACCTTTCCACCCTCTTTCTGTGCTACTATCATTACTATTGGCAAGAGTTTTCAGAGCAACGAGGCAAGGGACCTTAGGGCCTTGGGATTGGGGGTGGGGATGGGGATGTCAAGAAGGTGACTTGTTTTGGGATAAACGCACTTGGGCCTCTGGAAAGCAGGAGGCCCCTGGTCCCTGAGAGGATGTTAAAAATTAAATATTAAGAATAAATAAATAGCTCCCAAATGACACGAGTCAAGGAATGAAGGCTCCTGTCCTATCTAGTGAGGAGACTACTCCTCCCAAGGAAGGATCCAGAAATCTCCAGCATGCAGGACTGGGGCTGGGCCTGGACATCAACGTTGAGTGGGGTGCTTGGTGGCAGCTGCTGAAGGCAAGGAGCTGGCACCAAGAAGGAACAGGCTGGGCCTCTCTGGGACCTGCTCAAGGCTAAGCCCCCTTGGCAGCCTCCAGGACCTAAAGCTATTTGGCAAAAGACGGGAGGCAGGAAGAGCCAGGCCTGTCAGATGCTTCCTCAGTCCCACCCGGAAGCTTCCAGCCTCTGTGCTGCTCTTTCCTGCAGCCAAGAGCTTCCAACAAGAACATCGGCCTCTTCCCCAAATGTGGAGGGAACCTAGCGCCAGCAGGGCTGTGGGCAAGCAGCAGAGGGAGCGTGCATCAGCCTCCCCTGGGGGAGGAGGAGACCACTCCGAGCACTGGAGCAGCTCAGGCAGTGGTGGACGCTGCAGGGACAACACAGGTGCCAGCTAAGCCCCTCCCCAAGAGGTAACTAACTCTCACCACAGGAGCCCCCTTTCCTGGGACAGCCTTCAAGATCCTCTGCAACGGGCGAGTTTGGGCTTGGTTCGCCATGGTGGCTTCCTGGAGAAGGAGGAGAGGCAGGGAGGCAGGAGACTGCGGCAGCACAGGAACAGAGACCAAAGTATGCTGCTCCCGTTCCAGGAAAGCATGAGGACAAGGCTCCGCAGACCGAATGCAAAGGGAACTGGATCCTGCAGCCCTCAGCACTGCTCCTCGCCTCCATAAGTAACAGCGCTGCGTATTTCTGGTCTTGCTTGTTTTGCAGAGAGAAATCCTTGAGAGTCACCCCCTCCTGCGGTTCCAGGGTGGCCATGGGCCTGGCGGCAGGAGGGCCAGCTCAGCCCTTCTCACCCACCCCATTCTCCTCGTGCTGGGCCTGCTGGAGTGCAGCCGTAGCCTCCTTCTCCTTCTGCCTCAGCGCCGCGGCCTTCTTCTCCTGTTCCGCGTGGCTCTTCATGTGCGCACTGCGGCTCTTCACCTTGAAGAACACCCTGTGGGCAGGTAGGACAGTGATCAGGAGGGGGACAGTGTGGAGAGTGTGTCAGAGACTCCCGAGGTGGAAAGAGTGTGTGTGAGAGACCCCGGGGTGGGAGGGAGAGAGAAAGAGACCCTCCAGGGTAGAGTGTGTGTGTGTGTGGGGGGGCGCACCTCCCCGGGGTGGAGTGTGCATGTTGAGACTCCATGGTGGAGGAGAGTATATGTGTGAGACCTCCAGGGTGTGTCTTCCCACCTCACCGCCATAGTCAGTGCCATCATTATCTTTTTGAGTTGGAGTCTCACTCTGTTGCCCAGACTGGAGTGCAGTGGCACGCTCCCGGCCACTGCAGCCTCGACCTGCTGGGCTCCAGAGATCCTTCTGCCTCAGCCTTCCCAGTAGCTGGAACTACAGGCACGCGCTACCACGCCCGGCTAATTTTCTATTTATTGTAGAGATGAGGTCTCGCCAAGTTGCCCAGGCTGGTCTTGAACCCACGGGCTCAGGCAATCCACTCGCTTTGGCCTTCCAAAGTGCTGGAATTACAGGCTGAGCCACCGAGCCCGGCCAGTGCCATTATTTTCTAAAAGCTGCCCAATGATGTCATAGCCCTAGAACCCCAGAGTCAATCAGCAGACATCCTCCTCCCATGCCCTCCTGCTTACCTGCCACACTTTTTACAAGGGAAGGTATTCTCCTGGTTCTGGGTCTTATTGAATGTCTCTGGCTTTTTCTTCTTCTCTGAGAAAGGTAGTGCCCTTCGGGACTTCCCTGTGCCCTCCCTTGGCTTCTCTGAGGGCTGGCTGCTGGCAGACCCAGGGGCGTTGGACTCGTGGCTTCGGAGGATGAGGATGTCATTAGCCTGGAGGGAACAGGACAAAGAAAGCAGAGTGATCAGGGAAGTGGATTGGAATCAGGGAGTAGAGGGGCTCTGAAGGTCATATACTCCTGCCAAAGGGTCACCTAGCCTCCCCTTGGGTCCTTCTGGCCTCCTGGGAAGCCCATGGCATCTTTGGTCAACTCTGTCGTCTGCAAAGGTGCTGGTCTGGCAGTTCTGCAGGACAGCCCTAACTGTGTAGTGCCCCATGTTCCCGACATGCCCGACAGGGGTCTGTGTCTGAATTAATGAAGTCCATGCTCATATTTTCTATCATTTAGTCCATTCATGTCTTCATGTCACAGATGAGGTTCTGCCCCTGGGGTGTGCCAGATGCCCCTGCCCTCAGTGGGCTCACAGTCTGGTGTGTAGGAAGCCAGCTCAGGACAGCTCGGCATGGGGAAGGCTGAACAGAGGTGAAGAGCAGGGGTCAGACAGGGGCGCAGACAGGGACCTAGCTGGGGCCCAGAGGGCCATCAGAGTGATGCTGCGTGTGCTGGGAAAGCGTTCCAAGGAAGCAGAACTGGAGAGAGCGCAAACACAGAGCACAGCTCTCGGTGCAGGACAGCTGCGTATTTACAGTTTATGAATTTCTGTAAGCACATGTGTATAACACAAGTTAAAGAAAAAACACTCGTAGTAGTTCCCCAACCAGCCCCTTCCCTCCTTACCCCCTTCCTGGGGGCAGGGGGGACTCTCTCTGACAAGCAGCTATGGCTGGTATTGCTTCTTGGCCTATGATAGAGTAGACAGAGCACTGCCCTAGGAGTCCAAGGACCTGTGGTGTGACTTCAGGCAAGTCACTTAACATCTCTGAACCCCTTACCCTCACCTGCAGAGTAGGAATTGATACTTGCTGGGGTTACTGTGAAGAAGTGATGAGACAATGGAAATGAAAGCACTTTGCAGCGACCACACGTGAAGGAATGGTTATTCTGTTGTCTCACTCAGCTTCAGACTCTGTCAGGGATGCAGCTGTCTTGGGGGAATGCTGTCTGAGCTACAACTCATGAATGCGACCCCAGTGTCCCACAGACCCATTGGGTTTTCACAAAAACTTTTTCCTCTGAACTCAGATACAGAAGTATAGTGTAAAAATTAACAGCAGACTCTAGAGTCAGGCTGCCTACTCACTGAGTTATCTTGAGTCTCAATTTTCCCATCTGTGAAATGGGAGAAATAGTAGTACGTACAACATAGGGTTGTGAGGATTACTTGCATTAACAGCATAAAGTACTTTCGGCACTCCCAGGCATTGTGATGACCATGTTCCTGCTTTGCCCTGCCTCCCAGACCTACTGGCCAAGCTCCACCCCCCTGGCCCTGCGCTGGGTGAGTGGAGGTCACACTTACCGATTCATTGGCCTGTAGTGTCTGCGTGGCCTTGACGGCCGCTGCCCGTCGGCTGCGCTCTCGCCCCTCTTCCTGCTCCCCCTTCTCCTGGTACTCTGGCACTTCCTCCTCCCCATCCTTCCTGGGTTCTTTCACCTCTCTCTTGGGCTCCAGCCTCTCTTCACTTGGGGATTCTCTTCTGGGAGGAGGCACCCTTGGGAACTTCTGGGACGTCTACAGGGGACAAGAATGAGGGCAATGAGCCTAGAGCTCAGTCATTTTGCCTTGGCGCACCGATTCTGACCCACCTGGGATTCACTTGCCCTTGCCTGTCCTGTATGCCTGGCTGGCTCAGCACAGCCTTCTGTCCAAGGACCCTTTCATAGGCCATAGTCCTCCCATGGCTAGTCTGCCTGGGGACAGAAGAGAGTCTTGAGCCCTGGGATCCCTCAGGAGAGCGGGCTTGAGGCTGAGCCAGGCAAGGAGTGTGCCGGTCCCCCCATCAGTCATCTGCCTTCCTGGACAGATGCCTAGGAGACACCCTGGAGTAGGGTGGTCTGGGAAGCCTTGAGCTCTAAATTCCAAACTCTCTCTATAATGCTTTTGGCATCTCTACAACCTTCCCATCTGCAAAATGGGCACCAAACGACTCCATGTCTTAGAGTAGCATGTCACCAAGTGTGGTCTTGCAGTCCCTTGACGATCTTAGGTGGATACAGGGACACACAGTTAACAATCCCTTTTCAATTCTCTTTCCATTCTGATTATGTCAAGGACAAAGTCTCTGGCTGGTGCTAATGTGTCTTTTACACTTCTCTAGACTTGATAATCTCTCTAACAAAGAGAGGTCAGGTCTCATTCCCAGAGCCTTGGAAGGCAACACAGTATCTAGCTAGAAGCTAATAACACTAGTTTTCATATATATTTATTTTTACCAGTACTGCCTATTTATGGCAAACAATACTGGTTTTCTACTTACAATTGTGATATAAATAAAGCTTCCCTTTCAGTTGAGTTGATTTAAAGAAAAATATTAAGTAATAGCACAAGTGGTATGTGAACATGACAAGAACAGTAGTAGTGATACATAGCAGGCTGCAGATATAGCTGAGATCATAAAAGTGATATAAGAATGACTAGTTTGTTAGAAGTCTGCTATGAGGAGATAGTAAGTGTATGCTGGTGCAAATCCTGTGGGAAAATATCCAATTTTTACATCAACACAGTGTGTTATTACTATGACACTAGCACTACAGAGAGGGGAACCCAAAGTTCCAGGGCTCCCAGAGGCTGTCTGGGACACCACCTTCCTCTACCTGCCTTCCACAGGCTCCCAGAGAGCTTGACCACAGGTTCCTAGTCCAGCCCTGGCCCCAGACCCAGTCCAGGCTCTAGGCAGCTGAGGCTGGAAAAGGAGTCACCTTAATATCCACTTCAACCTCTTCCTGGGCTGACTTCTCATCACTTGGCTCCACATCCCCAAAGGTGAGGGTCCCGTTGCGGCCGATTTTCACCTGTTTCTTGTAGGTGTAGTAGAACTCCACGCATTGGGCCACAGTCTTGGTCTGGATCTGGTTTGAAGCCAAAACTGAGGTCAGAGCTTACCTGCATAGGGAGTCCAGTCTTCCTCGTCTCCACACATTCCCCTAATCTCAGGCCAAAAACTAAATCCAGGCAACCCAGGGAAAAAAAGCATTTTTCCAGTGCCTGCTCTGTAACAAACCACTGATCAATTCAATTAATCAATGCTTCACCACTATTTAAAATAAAGTAAGCTATAAATATAGGACAACACTGGAACCCCTGGGGAGATGTGAATATGAATTGCATATTGAAGGGCATTATTGATCAGATTATTATTATTATTATTTTGAGTTGGAGTCTCACTTTGTTGCCCAGACCAGAGTGCAGTGGCACGCTCCCGGCCACCGCAGACTCGACCTGCTGGGCTTGGGCGATCCTTCCGCCTCAGCCTTCCAAGTAGCTGGAACTACAGGCGTGTGCTATCACGCCTGGCTAATTTTTTGATTTATTGTAGAGATGAAGTCTCGCCAAGTTGCCCAGGTGAGTCTCGAACACGCGGGCTCAGGCAATTCACTCACCTCGGCCTCCCAAGGCGTGGGATTACAGGCTGAGCCCAGCCCAGATTATTTCTTGGGTGTGCTAATGGTACTGAGGTCTTGTAAAATATCCTTGTTTTTAGGAGATACATGCTGAAATACAGAGTCATGTGACAGAATGTCTGAAACTTACTTTTAATGATTAGCTGAAGCAGAGAAAGAAAAATAGTTATATATATGTGTCTATATGTTTAGATACACACAGGAAAAGAGAGAGAGAGCAAATATGGCAAGTGTTAATGGGTGGCAAATCTAAGTGAGAGTAAGTAGGTGTTCACTGTATTGTTCTCTCCAAAATTTTTCAAACTGAAAAGTTAAAGGGAAAAAGTTTGAGCACCATCCACATTCATAGCCAGCTGAGTAGACACCCTTTATCAATCCAGGCACACAATTTCATTTCTCTCCAGCAAACAGTAAGTGAGGGGGGAGAAATGTCAGTGTCCCATGTGGGGGAGAAGCTCAAGGGAAACTAACAAGACAGGCTTGGAAAAGCTGAAGAGGTAGCAAAGGCCCAAGTCCTGCTAAGACTCTGTCACCAAATGGCTAGGTGACCTTAGGCAGGTCACTCACCTTTCCAACTGCAGTTTTTTCATGTGTAAGCAGTTAAGTGGGGTAAATAACACTAGCCAATCTCCAGGAGCCTCTCAGGTGAAGCTCTAGCTTCACTGCAAAAATCTATCTGGCCGCTGGTTTAGTTTCTGAACAACTTTCCCAACACATAGGCTGTCTTCTCTGATGCCACCCTCTGTCCCCCTCCCTCACAGGCCCAGGCTCCCAGTCTGCTTAGCCACAGCTGGGTCGGAGCTCCCATCCAGAGAGCCCAGGGGTCAGCATGGGTCCTCTATACCGCAAGTTTCATCTCACAGGAATGGCCAAGGGACACATTTCTTAATTAGACTGTTTTACACTTTTACTATCAATTCTCTCTGATCATTTGTTTGACTAATGGTCTAATCTTTTCCTTAGGCATTAGGGGTGCCTCAGTGAATTTTACAGGCATGTCCTTGGGTCTAGGCTTTCCATCAGTACTTCTCAGTCAGGAAAGACAGCGTTACATAGCAAAGGGCTATCCTCACAACAGGGCCCTCTTGGTGAACTTGTCATCTGACATGATCTACAACCCCAGGGGAAAGGGTGTGTTCTTAGAAGCTCTCTTCCCTTGGAGGTCCACACAACTCACTCTCCTCACAGGCCAGGTTTTGTGAAACAGGGCTGGGAAGATGTATTCCTTGGATCAGCCAAGTACTCTAGTCTTCCAGAAGAATATGGAGAGAGGACAAGATAAATCTAGGAAACCTAGGCTTGGTCAGCTTCCAGGAAGGAAGTCCTGGGTCAGAAAGGAAGCGGGCAGAGGCCCCCAGGTCAGCAACACAGGCACTTGGTGGCTCTCAGTTCCCCTCACCCTGCTGGGTCTCTCCCCGCCCACCTACCTGCCTCTGGGGAATAATTCACTTCTGCTTATGGCCTTCCTTCCCATCCTGTCCTGCCCATTCTAAGTCTAATGCCACTAGGCCTGATGTCCACTTAGGCCTCCTTCTGGATGGAGACCCAGAGCCTAGTCACAACACCTTAAGATGGTGAAGGGTGTTTAGAACCAATAGGGAAAAAAGGCCATATCTTTTTTCCTTCTAGTATTGTTTAGAAAAGTGTCTTTGAGGCCACTTAGTAGCACTGACCTGACTGATTTTTGAGAGGGCTTGGTCACTGGCGGGGGGTCCCCAGAGTCACACAGGCAGCTCCTGGCCCTCCCTTGCCCCTGAAACAGAGCCCAGCTCACCAGCTTCTGCACCAGAAAGAAATCCTTCTTGTAGATGGCCATGCCCTTGTTGAAGAGCTTCCTCTCAGTCATTTTCCACTGGTCGGAGCCTGCAGGGCCAAGAAACAACCAGAGTAGTGAGGAGGGCAGGATCAGGAACACCGTGGGGTGGTTCTGACAGGCAAAAAAGCGTGAAGCCATTCACCATGTCTCTTCAGGCATCAGAGCCAGCTTCCTGCCTGGCTTTGGCTGTGTGCCAGCAATGTTGCTCGGAGTCTCCCCCTTGCTTGGGAAATGGGAACTAATAATAGAACCTACCAGCACACCAGCTGTGGTGAGGACTAAACGAGGCAATGCAAGTAAAACCCTTGGTACACTGCCTGGGGCAGATGAAATGTGGTACTAACAGGGATGGAGAACAGTGGCTGCTGGGATTATGTGATTTGGTCAGCATCCCTCTTATTTTATTTTTTTGAGTAGGAGTCTCACTCTGCTGCCCAGACTGTAGTGTAATGGCACGCTCATAGCCACTGCGGCCTCAACCTGCTGGGCTCAGGTGATTCTTCCGCCTCAGCCTTCCAAGTAGCTGGAACCACAGGTGCATACCACTACCACTCCCGGCTAATTTTTTAAAAATTTATTGTAGAGATGAGATCTCGCCAAGTCGCCTGGGCTGGTCTCGAACCCTGGACTCAGACAATCCTCTGGCCTCAGCCTCCCAAAGTGCTGGGATTACAAGTGTAAGCATAAGCCCGGCCAGCATCTCTCTTAAAATAAAAGTGCCCCAAACGGGACATGTACTCCAGGGGCCGTCCAAGTTCCAGACACCTGATGCCCAATTGGATGGCACTTCCTGGTTCCTGTCCCTGTGACCTGGGCTTTTTGGCTGGTGAGCTCCTGTCTGCCTACCCTTTCTCCCTGCCCCTCCAGGGTAGAAGATGCCCCTGAAGAGCTACCCCACTTTGGTGCCCGTTTCCTCACTGACTCTGGGCCCACCTAGCCCTTTCACTGCCCCAACCCAGGGCTGTGACCCAGCACGGAGCAGGGCCCCACTGCACATGTTGGAGACCTCCCGAGGCTCCAGGCCCCAAGCCCACCCCAGCCAGGCCCACCTGTATAGTGATAAGTTGCCAGTGGGTGGTTGTGGGGCCACAGGGGCTTCTTCAGTAGCAGCTTATTCAGCGTTTCCTGGAGGGAAGTGAGGGAAAGGTCAGGGCCTTGGCAGCATCTTAGTGGTGGACGAGCATCCTAGGCCCTGGCAGAACTCAGAGGCCCTCCTCAGGCTGCTACGTAGGCTGGACACGTACTCCCGCCTGCCTTTAACTGCTGAGGGATGAGGTCTGGTAGGATGGCGAGGTCATATGGGTGTGGCTTTTCAGAAAGGAGGCTGTAGGGCTTCTTGAGAGAGAGAGCCATGGCCCCCAAGGCAGACAGTGCAGGTGGAGAAGGACCCAGCATTTTCCCAGTTTCAAGACATGGGGACCCAGAATCAGGGACTGGAATAGATAGGAGGATCCTGCATAGCAAAATCTGGAGTTTAAAACTAGAGCTCCCTTGAACAAGCCCCTTCAGCCCCTTCCTTGGTCAGATGCTCTCATGGGTCTCAAATCTGCATAGCAGCAAGCCATGGATCCAAGCCAGCCCCAAGGGACCCTCCCTCTGCTGGGGCTGCCTCCTCACCAGGATATCTCCCCTGGACTCATGCAGACAGTGCAGGGCCAGCTCCTGGTTGGTGCCAGCTCCAGGGAAAATGCTGGAACAGGCAGCAGTCAGCAGGTCTTCCACTGGATTCACCAGAGGGTGTTGGGGGTGGGGGAAGAGAAACCACATTCAGGGCAGGGCTGGGCTGGGCCTGGTCACCCAACTGCCCACCAGCCTGCCCTCGAGTGCCAGCTCCCTCCTCACCTTGCCTCTGCTTCTCCCGGCTGCACTCCAGGTCCTCCCATGGCTGCCACACCAAGTCGGCCTTGTGGGGATCTGCAGCTGCCAGGGCGCGGTCCCTCATCGACGGGATTTCTGCTTGGAAACGGGAGCCCACGTTGATCCGTCTACAGGAGTGGAAAAGGCAGGGAGTGAGGCCTCACTCTGCAGGATGGAGAACCTGACTGTCTCCCTGGGGAAGGGAAGAAGAGGAGGGGCAAGGCCTCAAATGGGTGGAGGGAATCTGATTTCTGGGGGACTACGAGGCCAGAGAGGCAAGACCCTGAGGCTGGAAAGGGCAGAAGTGGCTCCAAGTTTACAGATGGGAAGAGTCCCTTGGCCCACCCTTCTAACTCTTCTAGAGATAAATTCAAGATAAACTCGTCTTTCCTTTCTCTGCAACTTCCACACAGAAGCAGCATAAGGACAGCAAAACCCAGGGCCCACTGCAGAAGCCCAGAGAGGCCCACTCAGCCCTCTGCAGGCCCCACAGAATCCTCTTCCTCCAGGGTCCCTGCATGTACTGTCCCAACATGGCCACCCTCATACCCTGGACCAGGGCAGGGCTGTACTTACGGCTCGATGCTCACTGGGGTGGCTTCCCCCATCACAGAGAGGACGGGTGGGGTGACTTCAGCACTGTCTATGGGACAAACAGCAGGTTGGCAAACTCCCTTTAGCAAAATGCCCCAACCCTAGGTGGCTGCCAGGTTCATATAAGAGTCACAGTGATGACTCAGAGCTCACACCTGCAACACAGGTAACCCGGGCCCTGGCTCTACAGCCTGCTACCTGTGACAGCTCAGGCCCTTTACCAAATATTTGGTTGCCTCAGTTTTCACACATGCAAAAAGGGGCCATTACTACCTATCTCCTAGGGTTAATGTGAGGATGAAATGAAATAACATGCAGAGCCGGACAGTCATAAATATTAGCTATTATTACTACTAAAGCCATGTCCTTTCTCCCAGGAGTTCTCACACTACAGAATTAAGAGGCTTAATTCTAGGTAAGAGTCTAAAACTTTGGGCACACTAGGAAGATGGTAAAAGGGATCACTGTTTTATAATGACCTTCTCACTTCCTCTCTGAACTTTCTGCCTTGGTTTCTCCCAAACTAATTATCTTAAGATCAAGACATGCTCATAATCAAGACATTCCCTTGCTCCACGCCTCCCTTTTTTGCTAACTCCTTCTGCAATGTGAGATAAAAACTGAAATCCTTCACTCAGAGTTCAAGTCAGTTCCCCCTTCCATCTGTACCCCACCCCCCTTGCTGGGGCTTTGATCTTAACAGCCCCTCACTATCGCTGCTAGTCCTACTTACAGGCCTTTGTGCCAGTCATTTCCTCTGCCTGGTGTGTCCTCCCTGCCCTCCTCCATAGTTCAAGCTCAGCCTAGCCCCACCCCCTTGACTGCCTTCCCTGGATTCCCAGCCTAGCAGCCTCTACTGGCTTCACTTTTCTCACCAGTGGCAGACCCCACACTGCCGGGAACCTCTATTTTTCTGACTCCCGGGCTTTCAGGTCAATTCCCTAATGACCCCACACATTTTAGAACAGAACATTATGTCTCATACATTCTTGAAGCGCTCACAGGACCCAGTTCAAGGTTTTAGACCCAAGTGCTCAGTAAATATTCATGGATGGACTGACTTCTTCCTTGCTGCCAGTCTGGTCTCTACAATGACTTCCTGCTACACAACCTGGTGAGGAAGAAGCCTCTGGGGAAGCGGGAGGACCAGAGACAGCCAGCCTAGGGCAGACCATTTCTCACCCACAGACACCAGGGGGCACTGCAGAGCTACACCTTCGGTGAGGCCAGGGTCAGAGGTTGACTGGGTGAAAGCACTCATGATTGACTCCCACTTAATCCTCTCCACCACCCTAAGAGATCAGATTATCCCATTTTTCAGAGAAAATGGATCCTTCCGTGGAATGGGCAACATTTTTCAGCAACACACCGCTTGGGCCAGTCCAATACTTCCAGAATGTCTGCTCCTGACCAAAATGACTGTTCACACGACCCAGGAAAACAGATCTGCCACAGAGAATTATGAGCAAACACGATGCTAAGGGCTTTATGTGTGCTTATGCATGTGATAGGAGGTGGCTATTAGGTGGCTATTTGTGAATCTAAAAAGAAGCAAATTATTGGCAATTTCATCGTCAATGAAGTACTACTAACATCTCCATCTTCATACTGAAGAAACTGGGGCCCAGAGAGTTTAAGTGACTTGCACAGTAGGATGTGACAGTAAATGATGGTGGACAACCTCCTTCATCCTCTCAGAGAAGAGAGAGTGGATCTCCTTCTCCCAGAGCAGTCTAGCCCAATCCCATAAACTCAGACACCTCCCGGCCTGGTGCCCCACCCCCTCCTTCCCAACAGCTGCCGAGGCAAGTCACTCACTAGACCGGAGCAGGGTGCGATGGGCACTCTTAGGTGTGATGGGAGGAGGGGCTGGGATGCTGCTGGTTGATATGATGGCATTGAAGTAGAGGCCTGAGCCTTCCCGCACAGGGCTGAGGATAGGGGGTGGCGTGTAGGGGGGCAGCTCAAAGCTCCGCTCAGAGGGGTGGTCAGCAAGGCGGACAGGAGAGCGCAGGTGGCTCTGGTACGGGGTGATGTTGGAATAGACAGGAGGGGCGATGAAAGTGCCCGCCTTGGTGGGGATGATCAAAGGCTCAGGCCGTGGCCGCTGCTTTGGTTTCCGCACAGAAGTCTCCCCCTCCAGCTTGGCATTCATGTCCTCAGCCTGGAGGAAGAACGAGAACAAAGATGGCTTAGCCTCCCACTTATGAGAAAAGGTGAAGTCTTGACCACTGCTTGCCAGTCTCACCTTTGGAACTTGGTCTGCCCACCACACCCACCACACCCACTGGGACAAGTCTGACAAAGAGAGCAGGTCCAAAAGCCCTTCTTATTGTCTCCTCCAGGGCAGAGGTCAGCAAACATTTTCCACAAAGGGCCAGAGAGTAAATATTTTAGGCTTTGTGGGCCACATGCAGTCTGCTACATATTTGTCTTCTTTCTCTTTTTAAAAATAAACCTATAAAACTGTATAAACTACTCTTAGATCTAGCTTTGGCCCCCAGACCATAGCTCGCCAACCTTGATGTAAGTATTCAACAGTGCAGGGGAGTACAGTAGTTAGGACCAGGCTCCGGAGCTGACTGCCTGCCACCTTTACTACCACTTAAAATTACTCAATCTCTCTGCATCTTCATCTTTAACATGGGAAGAATAAGTGCCTGCCTAATGGGGCAGCTATGAGGGCCACATGAGTTAACACAGGGAAATCACTGAGAATATTACCTGGTACACAGTAATTAGTAAGTACTGGCCGTTATCTCTATTTAAACTCCAGGCTCTGCATTAGATGGAAGCCCCTACTATGTGCTAAGACCTAAACTGGGCATGGGACTACAAAATGGAATGGACAGTAGTTCCTGTCTTCATAGGGTTTTTGTTCTCACAGTATTAGTCCTACTATGAGAGACTAGCCCACTCATGCTGTCAAAGGTTATCCCTCCCGGCTCACACTTCTCCCTGCTTGGGTCTCCACATAAAATTGAAAGCAGAACTCTAAGGGAATAGAGGCCTTCCCTTGCTTCATCCCTGTCTTCTCAAAGGGCACAGAATGGAGCCCTACAGGTGAGCAGCATCCAAGTTGTGCCTCTAGGTATACAGTATAACAGATAAGGTTGGCCATGTTGACTGGAATAATGGGGTCTTTTCTCCAAGACTTCAGTTCCCATATCACCTTCTAGTAGAGGGCCCTGACTCCCTGTGAGGCAGTGGTCAGGTCCTTTACCAATTTGTGCCCTCTTTTCTCTTCTATAGATTAGAATGAAATGAAATTGTTCATTCTTCTGCCCTTAATGGAACAATATGATTGCACAGAAAAAATGAAGTGGAGCCAAAAGCCCCCAAACATGGGGGGCAAGAAATACAACAGAAATTCAGCTAGCTGAATGATGTGTAAATTTATAAGGGATTTTAACTATTCTGAATATTTAACTATTATTTGTGTTTATTTTTTAGATGTGGTAATAGTATTGAAATCATATTTTTTAAAGAAAGAGTATGTATGCATTTCAGATACAACTTGAAGTATTTATGGATGGAATGATAGTAATGTGCTTCAAAATCATCCAGTGGAAGGCTGGGCACAGTGGCTCACACCTTATAATCCTAACACTTTGGGAGGCCGAAGTGAAGGGATTCCTGAGACCCACGGGTTCGAGACCAGCCTGGGCAACTTGGCAAGACTTCATTTCTACAATAAACAAAAAATTAGGCCAGGTATGGTGGTGTGCGCCTGTAGTTCTAGCTACTTGGAAGGCTGAGGCAGAAGGATTGCCTGAGCCTAGCAGGCTGGGGCTGCAGTGGCTGGGAACACGCCACTGCCCTCCAGCCTGGGTGGCAGGGTGAGATTCCAGCTCAAAAATCACCATCATCATCATCATCCAGTAGCAGGGAGAAGCAGCAGTGCAGGCCAACAAGATAACCTATATTTTGATAACTGTAAAATGGCTAAACACTGACATTCTCATATCATTCTTTCTATTTTTATTCATAATTGAAAATGTATATACATTTAAAAAATACTGAACAAAATAAACAAACAACAAAAAACAAACTTCCCCCAAAAGCCTGATGTAGTGAAAATACTCACAGGTGGGGATTAAGGAGATCCAAATTCTAGAGCTAGTTATGTTGTTATTCAGCTATAGAACCTAAAGTCAAGTCTCTTGCCTTTTCTGGACCAAATTCCTCAACTATAAAATAGGGATTGAGGCCGGGCTTGGTGACTCAGCCTGTAATCCCGCACCTTTGGAAGGCTGAAGTGAGTGGATTGCATGAGCCCGCGGGTTCGAGACCTGCCTGGGCAACTTGGCGAGACCTCATCTCTACGATAAATCAAAAAAAATTAGCCAGGAGTGGTAGCGCACGCCTGTAGTTCTGGCTACTCGGAAGGCTGAGGCGGAGGGATTGCCGGAGCCCAGCAGGTCGAGGCTGCAGTGGCCAGGAGGAGCCACTGTACTCCAGTCTGGGCGACAGAGTGAGACTCCAACTCAAAAAAAAAAAAAAAAAAAAAAAAAAAATAGGAATTGAGTTGTGTAGTTGCTTAGGCTTCTTCCTGCCCACTCTCAGGACAAGCTGTCCAGGCCTCCAGCCTCTACCACAAAATTTCCCCCAACCAGAGAACAAGACACCAGAGAGCAAAAACTGGTGCTTATTTTTAATCTTGATGCTTCCTTTCCTGTTACAGAAGATAGGCATGCAGGACAACTCTCCAGCGAAGGATAACTAGAAAATCTGGACTCAATGTAATAGAAAAACACATTTCTGAATATCTGACAATATTCTTTGTGTTAATTTTTTAGGTGTGGTAATGGTATTGAGATATTTTTTAAAGAAAGAAAGAGTATATATGTATTTCAGACACAATCTGAAGTATTTACGGATGGGATGATACAATGTTAGTGATGTGCTTTGAAATAATCCAGGTATGAGAGAATAGGTTGGCAAAGAATTAAAGAGTCAAGATCCAGTAAAAGAAAGCCAAAAAAGTAAGCCCAGCATCTGAAGTTACAATTTTCCCTGGAGGCAGATGCTGTTACTGGAAGAGGGAGCTGAGATGCTTAAAAACTAAGCATAACTTTTAAGACATTCAAAGAGCTAACACAATTAAAAATTAGAGTTTAGGGCTTGACAAGCAAGGAGAGGCTGGTAAAACCCCAGGCTTTGGACTGGGATTCTAAAAAGCTCTATCTCAGAATCAGATGAATCAAAAACAGGCTAGTCCTTACAAGGAATAAAACCCAACTCAAATCATCTCATCTCAACCTCTGATTAAATCAAAGGGATTCAGAATTGCCAGTGCCTTTTGCTGCCTGTCAGAAGCAAAGACAAATCCTCTCTGGAAAAGAACATCAAGTATCTTTAATTACCTTGACAGTTTTTCATACATAATGTTTGATATTCAACAAAAAATGACATACACAAAAAAAACCAATATGTGATTTAAAAGTAAAAATAACAGGTAATAGAACCAGACCCACATCCGTGACGTTATCGGTCGTAAACTTTAAGAAAACTATGCTTAAGTTTTGCAATAAAATAAAAGGCAAGGTTTAGAATTTCATCGAAGAACCAGAAACTTGGCCAGGCATGGTAGCTCACGCCTATAATCTCATCACTTTGGGAAGCCAAGGTGAGAAGATTGCCTGAGCTCACAGGTTTGAGACCAGTCTAGGCAACCTGGTGAGACCTCACCTCTACAAAAAAATAAAAAAATCAGCCAGGCATGGTGGCGTGTGCCTGTAGTTCCAGCTACTTGGAAGGCTGAGATGGAAGAATCACTTGAGCCCAGCAGGTCAAGGCTGTGATGACTGTGAGCATGCCACTGCACTCCAGGCTGGGCGACAGAGTGAGACTCCAACTCAAAAAAAAGAAAAAAGAAAAAAAAAAAGAAGCCAGGAACAGTGGCTCAAGCCTATAATCCCAGCACTTTGGGAGGCTAAGGTGAGAGGATTGTCTGAGTCCAAGGGTTTGAGACCAGCCTAGGCAATTTCGTTGGTGAGGCCTCATCTTTACAGTAAATAAAACAATTAGTCGGGTGTGGTGGTGCATACCTGTAGTTCCAGCTACTTGGAAAGCTGAGACAGAAGGATCACCTGAGCCCAGCAGGTCAAGGCTACAGTGGCCACGAGAGAGCCACTAAACTCCAGCTTGGGCAACAGAGTGAGACTCCAACTCAAAAAAATAAAAAATTAAATAAATTAAAAAATTAAAAAAGAACCAGAAACTCTAAAAATGAACCAAATGGAAATTTGGTAATTGGAAAATAAAATAATTAAAAATAAAAAACTTAATGAATGGTTTTAAAAACACACTAGATATAGCTAAAGACAGAATTAGTGAACAGAAAGACAGGTCAAGTTGAATAAAAATGAAAAATATAGGAAAATGCACAAAATAGGGATACAATGAAAAGGTCTACTAAACATATAACTGGAGTCCTAGAAAAAAAAGGGGGAAAAATGGAGAAGAAATATCCAAGAAGCACTATAAACTATAAACAGGATAAATACAAAGGAAAACGTTATTTAAGTATAACATACCAAAACTTCTGAAAGTCAAAGACAAAAAAAGAAAAGAAAAAGAAAACAACTTCCAAAATCTTGAGAGCAACAAGAGAAAAATACACTTTACATTCAAAGAAACAATATGGCTTATAGTAGTTTCTTAACTGTAAGAACAATGGACTCCTAATGGCAAAGGAAAGGTATTTCTTTATTTTTCTGAGAAGTCTCACTCTGTTGCCTGGGCTGGAATGCAGTGGCATGCTCATGGCCACCACTGCCTTGACCTGCTGGGCTCAGGCGATCCTCCTGCCTCAGCCTTCCAAGTAGCTGGAACTACAGGCACGCATCACTAACTACAGGCACGCATTCTGGCTAATTTTTTGATTTATTGTAGAGACGAGGTCTCGCCAAGTTGCCCAGGCTGGTCTCGAACCCCTGGGCTCAGGCAATCCTCTTGCCTCCGCCTCCCAAAGTGCTAGGATTACAGGCGTGAACCACTGCGTCTGACCTGGCATGGTATCTTTAAAGTGCCAAAAGAAAATAACTACTTCAGGTGTATCTTTCAAGTGGCATATAGTTGGCATTTGTTTTTATCCAGTCTTTTAATTAGAGCATTGGTACAGTTTATATCTATTTATGTATTTTTTTAATTAACAAACAAATTGTTTGCATTTATGTATACAACATGTTTTGATATAGATATATATTATGAAATGGCTAAAGCAAGCTAATTAACATATCTGTTACCTCACAAACTTGCCATTTTTTGTGAGAACATTTATAAAATCTGTTTTCTTGGCTGGGCAACTTGACAAGACTCATCTCTGCAATCAAGAAAAATTAGCCAGGCATGGTGGAATTCTCTATGCAGCAAAGCTATCTTTCAAAATAAAGATGAAATTAAACCATTTTCAGATCATCAAAGACTAATAAAACTCATCATTAGCAGGTTCACACTAAAGGAAATTTTAAGGGATGTTCTTGAAGCAACATATAAATAATCCAGGATGGAAGCTTAAAGATATGAGAAAAATGAAAGCAATAAAAAGGGTAACTATTGGGACAAATCTAAGATAAAAAACAACTGAACAAAACAATGTATAATGTCCTGTTGATGTGAAAATATAGAGAAAATGAAAATGCATGTCAATGATGCTACAAGTTAAGGATTGGTGGAAAATAAAGTTAAAGTGTTGTAAGAACTTTGCATTGCCAGGAAGAGGAAAAAGTACTAATGTATTAGATTTCAATACCCCAAGGATGCACAGCTGACTCTCTAGCAGCCTTTCTCAATCAGAGAACTAAGCCCTAATATCATAATGCATTCATTGTACATAATGAGTTAAATTATCTCATTTGCATTTAAGAATGGTACTAGCGACATGCCATCCTTCAGAGAATTGAGGAAATAGTCGCTCAAATCCCTCTATGTGGGGCTTAGTTCTCTTGCAGAAATCCAGGTAAGAAGAATATTAGAGTAATCACTGAAAGAGAGATAAGCAAGTATATAACTAATAAATTCACAAAGTAGGGAAATGGAGTAACAAATCAATCCAAAGGAAAACCAAAAAGGGACACAGGAGAGGCAGGATGGGATAAACAGAAAGCTAACAGGAGATGGCAAATTTCAATTCAAGAACATTGGTGATAATATTAAACGTAAACTGTATAAATGGAAACTTAAAAAAATTGAACTCATGGAAACAGAAAGTAGAACAGTGGTTACCAGGGTTTCAGGGATGAGGTGGGGATCGGGAAGATGTTGGTCAAAAGACACATAATTTCAGTTAAAAAGAAGTTCAGGTGATCTATTGTATATCATATTAACTATCATTAATAACAGTGTACTGTATACTTAGAAACTGCTAAGAGCACAGATTTTATTTTTTTGAGTCAGAGTCTCACTCTGTTGCTGGAGTGCCATGGCATGCTCACAGCCACTGAAGTCATGAACTGCTGGGCTCAGGTGATCCTTCCACCTCAGCCTTCCAAGTAGCTGGAACTGTAAGCAAGTGCCACCATGCCTGGCTAATTTTTCTTGATTGCAGAGATGAGGTCTTGCCAAGTTGTCCAGCCAAGAAAGCAGATTTTAAATGTTCTCACAAAAATGGCAAGTTTGTGAGGTAACAGATATGCTAATTAGCTTGCTTTAGCCATTTCATTATATATCTATATCAAAACATCATGTTGTATATATAAATGCAAACAATTTTTGTTTAATTAAAAAAATACATAAATAGAAAGGAAGATATAAACTGTACCAATGCTCTAATTAAAAGACTAGATAAAAACAAATGCCAACTATATGCCACTTGAAAGACACACCTTAAGTAGAAGAATACAGAAAAGTTGACAGTGAAAAGATGAAAAAAGACACATCCTGTAGACTCTAACCAAAAACGCTAAATAACAGAGAAAGTAGACTTTAAAAGCAAAAAAAAAAAACTTAAGATAAAAAGAGGTTTCATAAAGTATCTAATCCAGTTCTAAATGAGTATGTTCCTAATAACATTGCATCAAAAATGTATAAAACAACAACAGAACCAAAATTAGACAAAACCTCAATCTTAGCAGATTTGTTTTTTTTTTGGTCAGAAAGTGAGAAAGCAGGATTTACTGAGAGGACAGAAAAGCTCCCACAGTGAGAGGGGACCCGAGGGGACTGCCCCTTAGTGGGAGATTTTAAGACACATATCTCAGCAGGACAGTATGGACAAACCTCTCTACCTAGCAGTACCTAGCATAGGGCCTGACCCATAATAGGGGCCCAAGCACAAAACGCTGACCTGAAATGAAAGAGGTCATTCTAGATTCTCCAAGTCTCAATTTCAAGTGTAAAACTGTCTCATCCTCCACATGTACATTCATTCAGAAGTCAGGTTTGGGAAGTAAAAGTAGCATCTCCACAGGTTCCCTGTTCTCATTTTTCCCTTGTTGTTTTTCATTCCTTGTTCTCCTTAGGCCCCAGGAGCACCCAGGTTCTAGAGGTATTTGGACAGTGAGCCTCTCATACCTGCACTGGACCATCCGTCCCGGGGATTCGGGTGGACCGCCTGCGGGTGACAATGACTGATGGCTTGTGCTCAGTGGGGTTCTGTTCAGGACCCTTCCCATCCTCGTCAACACCTCCAGCTTGGGCTGCCTCAGTTGGGTCCACAGCCCGCACAGGCACAGACACTGGGATGATGAGTGGTATCATCCCACTGTCTTCTCGGGCTCGCTTGGTGACTAATGAAGGCTCAGAAAACTCCACCCCACATTTGGCAGTTGAGGCAAGCACACTTTTCCGCTTCTCCTCAGAGCCACTGGCATCCTGAAGAGATGGGGTGCAGGGATGAAAGCGAAGTTTAGAAGACAAGTTCTGATTTGCTGATCCAGAACCCCCCCTCTCATTTAATCCAGGGACTAACACCCACAGTGACTCCCAATGGTCTTGGACAATCTGGCCCTTCCCCGGCCACCTTTTCCCACATCACATTTCTAAACCCTTTCCATAACCTCCACGTCTCCCATTCTGACCTGGAACAGGGGTCCCAGACCACCAAATGGCTGCAAGTGGCTTATGGACACGTTTCATATGTTTCAATTGGCCTACACAGTGGGTGGCACATAAAATAGTATCTGAATTTTTAAAAAAAATCTCTGCAAAATGAAGCAAGCAGGAACCCTGAAGCAAGGTAAAGGGTGGCCTCCCTACTACTCCCCCAGTGGCAGCTGGCTGCAGCCAAGTCCGGCGGTCCCTAAGCTCAGGACAAGTCCTACAGCCGGATTGCCCGGCGCCAGGTCGGCCCCCAACCCACTCTCACCTTTGCATTCTGCAGTGAGGCCAGCTCCACCGCCTTCTGGGCCAAGGTCAGCAAATTGGCCTCCTGGGACGCCCGGCGCCGCCGTCGTGTGCTCTGGATCACCCCACCCCGCAGCACCTGCCCGCAGTCCCCTGTGCCCAACGCCCTCAAGCCCTCCTCGCTGCCCATGGCGGGGACCTCCCGCTCCCGACCGTTGGAGGCCAGTCTCTCCCCCTCCGCCAGCAGCTGTGACTCCCTCAGCTCCAGCGGGAACCCCAGCGCTTCGGGATGGGGCTGCCCCAGGGAGCCAGGCGGCGGCTGCAGGGGCCAGTGGTGCAGGAAGAGGTTGCCCGCGGGCTCCTGCACAGGCTGGGTGCCGGCCCCCTCCAGCGTGCTGGGAGGCAGGATTCCCTCCTTGGAAAGGCGGCGGGAGCGGCGGGGGAAGGGGACCTGAGGTAGCGCGGGCTGGGGGGCCACCTCCTGCAGGAGGGCCTTGC